CTAGTATTTGTAAATATTAAGCCGCAAAACGATTCATATTTAAATATGAATTCTGCGTGTCTCTGTGTTAATGAATGGCGCAGATGCGCGGTTTTGTGTAGTACTCGTACTGAAACGCTCGTGACGCTTCCGGTGATATTAACGTCTGCTGTCTCACTAATGAGGACATAAATGCATGAACAACACCTCCAAAACTGCTCTGAGAGTCACTTCATGAGCATTTGACCGTTTCATTTGAGTAAAACTATCCTCATATCATATACACACAGAAATGTAAAGGTATTCACGGCAATCCGTCAAAATGAAAGTTCGGTTTAACTTGAGGGCATTGGCAGAAATTGTTGAGTAGAATGTACATAACAGGCTGCTACTACTACTACTAAAAAAACCTTATTTTTAAGGAATAAGCATTTAATATTTCTTCAATGTTTTAATTATAATATTAAATTACCTTTATTTTCCAAAAAATAAAATTTGTTTAATTTTCATTACTTAAAAGATAGATTAAATGAATGTTTTATGCCATAAAATATTTAAATACACAACAAATAATTTCTGAGCAAAAAATCATAAGGCTATTGTAAGAATAAATTAAACTTGTTTTTATGCTTTCAAATAATTAGACATGCTAAAACAGAATTTGGTAACAATAAAACATAAGGTTGAAAAAAATTAAATATTTCATAGGGCCCTAAACATGTAATTTTTGTTAAACTTTTTAATAAATTGATGTTAAATTGTTTGTTTCATGATTTTAATTAGTTAGACATGCTTTTTGATTCCATGATGCTGATTCATCCAGCAATGAAACAAGTACATCTTGAGCAAGTCATTTAATCATTAAATTACATGTGATTTTGTTTAGTTGTCTAATGTTTTTTATTCAGAATCATGAGATAGAGAACCACAACTTCCATTAGGGAAAAAAAAAACTAACTGTATCCAGAATCATGCAGTTCTATTTTGCACACAAACAGCGCTTAAAGAGTTTTTATGTAGCCTGTTGATTTTTGTTCATGGTATTCTGCTCCAATAAATGGTTTGCAAAAATATAATAAATAGATAAAGGTTTGATATCATTATTTAATCACATTGGAATCGAAAAGAATCGGAATCGATAAGCAGAATCGGAATCGGAATCAGATTTGATAAAATTCAAACGATACCCTACCCTAGTTTTATATTGTTCTTAGTAGAATTGGTATTATTATTATTATTATTACTACTTTATCAGTATTATTGTTAGTTTTTTCCCATTTTTTCTTAGTGCGTTTTATATTGTTCTTATTAGTATAATTCGTATAATAATAATTATAATAATAATAAATAGCACCACCACCAGTCCTAAGTTCAGTTAAAATGACTAATATGCATTCATACATGGTTACCAGTTTTAATTGTAATTACTAATACTTGATTATCATAATATATTATAATGCTTGACTGACTGATGTTAAGAGTGTACTTTCAGATATTTAAAAAGCTGTGCCATTTTACAAACAAGGTGTCCGTAGAGGGTTGACTATTAGTATTATTATTAGTATTAGTAATATTTTAGGAGGTATTCTTATCTACACAATTCTCACATAGAAATCCTGGAAATATCAGGTCATTTTAAAAATGATTGGAAACATCATAGAAATTAATTCTTAATTTCTTGCATGGAAGATATTATTATTATTATTATTACTATTATGTTTTTCATGCTTGAATACATTTTATTTTATTTACAGGCAATAATAATAATAATAATAATAATAGTATTTTTATATATTTGTATAATAAATGAATAATTTAAGATTTAATTGTAATTTTCGTAACTTTTCTAGTCTTATTTCCAGGTATTATCATCATCATTATCATTATCATCATCATCATTATTATGTTTTTCATGCTTGAATACATTTAATTTTTTATGTAGTAGTAGTAGACAAGAGTATAATATAAAAATGAAATAATAATAATAATGTTTTAATGTATTATATTTGTTTAAAATCTTATTAGAAACATTTGTATATTGAAAGGTAAAATGGTTCATATAGGTTAATTAAAATGCATACTAATGGATATTCTGCCTGGCAATCCTTAAAAAAAAAAAAAGATTTCTTTCCAGTAATCATGATTCATTGGTCAAAATGTGTGGGAACCCTGTATCTAGCTTCCTGGCTTGTCAGGAAGTTTCTCTACATTAGGCACATTGTGGTGCAGAACTGTTGGAAATGGCAGTGGCAATCAAAACTAATTAGTCTGCAGATATTGTGTAGGCTGAGACTTTCTCTCTCTATTTCACTTTAGAGAAAGTGAGATTAACTGAGATTAGATGTGCCGTACATTGAGAGCACGCCTGCCTCCACCACACCCCTCACGAGGCATGCAGAAGAACACAGAAATAAATGTGGTGCTGCAGTTCTAGCCCTGTTGCTAAGAGTAGGACGCCTTCAATCATCTCTCGGTATGGTGTGGGAATGCAATCAGTAGCATAGCAGTACCCAGTCACCTGAGATGTACTAAATAAAGTGACAGCCTTTGAACCACCGCTCTTCTTACATGTAGTGTCATAAAGACACACACCGTGCAATGTGCACTTTAAAACAAGGTTGCATTTTTAGACCGTCAATAACACTTAATGTTCTCATGTTACTGTTATCGCTAATTATGAAGACTTTGCTTTGACTGCGAGGCTGCGATTGTAGATAAGTGTTGAGTAACCCTGGTGTTTTATTTGCAATGTTTCGTCTCCGACTCCCAATTAAAATAAACAACGAACGCAGGCTTACCATGTAAATGTAGCTTATTTAGACAGATCGACCGATGAATGTCTTTGCCACCCGTACAATGCATAAATAAACAGCTCAACCACTGGCATTTTGGCAATCGTGTGACTAAATAATATTACCGCACTAGCTTTGTGGGCTGACTCAGTCCTTTATTTAGCCTGTTGTTGACAATATGCGTTTTAAGCAGCCCTGCCTGCTCTGTCCGAGGAATTTAATCTATGGCATATGCAATCCACAGAGAGAGATTGAAGACACGTTTCGGTTTCTGAGGCTTTGAGGCCGTTTCCATGTGCCCCCAATAAAACTTGCTTCAGAGCTCTGGTAACGCTCATTGAAATGGGCCGACCTTTGACCCTGCCCCTCTATCTACCCTATATCTATCTCTCTCTCTAAACATTGCGTCGAAGAACTGACCGCTCCGGGCGCACACAAGTCAATCCATAATGGTTGATGTGACCTGATTTGAATTGCATTGATGGTAAGAACTAATCCATTACACCTAAGACACTCCCGCTGTTGTTCATAAACTGAACTTGTCAATATCTGTGCGCAGAGGAAACGGTCTGTTCATACTGCAAATTTGATTGCCAAGAATGAAGAGTTTTCTATACACTTGTTGTAATCTGTTTATTTGGAAATTAGTTCTAACCCTCTGCTTTCTGGTCATCTTCAGTTGCAGTAATTTGTTGTGAAATCTTAAAAGGTGCTTCAGCAGCCATGTGCCCCCGTAGCTTGGCCATAAATCCAATATAACGGCTGCTTGACCTTTCTCCAGCAAAGCCTCTCTGAACGTGTTGCAATTTTGCCAGAGGGATGGGAGAAGCGCACATTCCAGCCTCATTTCGCTCCATTCATTTGCAGCAGAAGCCGCTCTCGCTTCTCGTTTCAGCAGCTAGCATTTAGCGCGAACACATCGTTTACGCTGCACTCTTTGATTTAGTGGTTACTCATCTCTTCAGGGTGTTCTTATGAGTCATTCCAGCACCACCTGACCTCTTGCCAAAGTGCCAAGCCTGCATGACGCAGCCTCTGGTGTTCTGAGTAATACATTCTCAGAACAAGCGTGCTTTAAGACGCGGCCGTCCAAAAACAAACATTTCATTCGCCTGTCCTCATGCAGAGTCGCTCTCAGATCTGTGTGCACCGGGGGCCAGGGCGGTACGGGCCTGCCAGTTCACTCCATAAAAGCAGCAACAGGCTTCGTATGCGCCTCGGGTCCTGCTGGTTTTAAATGCGAGCGTGCCCCACCCACAATACATTGCAAGTCTCACAATGGAGGTTCTGAGTGAAGGATGTGATTCCACCCCTTTTGAATGTATCTTCTACAACCAGGAATGATGAATGCACATGCATGACCCTATATATCTTCCAGAGGATTATGCTCTAAACATTTCATCCTCCCCTTTGAATGTCGAGTATTTCTATCTTTAGAGGGCTGTTTGTTCTTAGCCCTGACAACCCTTTTGTCTTTCATTAAAGCTGATTTTTTTTAAGGAGGGATAGTGTTATGTGTCAGCACTATTTTTGTGTGCCTTTGTGCTTTTGTTTATGGCTGTTTGTAGTGTTTGAGGTTATGAATGTGCATTTGTGCGTTTTTGCCCTTGGTGAAATCTTAGATGAAATTCATTACTTTGCATGTGTGAATGGCCGCTCCCGGGTTACCAGATGTCAGGTTTGAGAAATATTTCTCTCCCTTTGCTTTGGGTGGTAATAAGTCAATTTTATGATTGGACTGAGGTGAGCTGCTGCTCCAGCTATGAAGCAGATTCATGAACTGATAAGATAATAAATCGTCAAATCTGTGTATTTGTAAGTGTGCATAATTTGGCTATGAATAATGACACTGAAAGATTTTTGCTCAGCTGGAAAAAGGTTTTGTCGACCGATGTACAGTCAATGACTCAAGTGTCACTGTCATAAACTATTTTCAAAGGTTATTGTACTAACGTCCATTCTGCCTGAGGATAGGAAGATGCAGATGTTGCATTAAATACAGGAGGTAGTACTGACAGTTTGGGCCACTCCCTTAGTCTCTCGAATAACAGGACTTAACATGTCTGTACTCTCTCTCTTTTACAGGTTTTCCTCACTTGCCAAGCAGTTTGTACCCCAGCCCTTACATTCCCTTGGGCCACCTTGAGCATCCACAGCTCAGCCAACAGGCACTCTTTGACTCACAAAAAGGTCTGTATATGTCTATGAAATAAGATGTTTAACCATTATCACTGTGATTTATGTGTGTATATGACTATCATATAGTGGTTCAACGGATCACAAATCTCACGGTTCGGATCACATTACGGTTTTTGACCCACGGATCGGATAATTTTTCGGATCAGCAAGAAAAGGATCACATTACGGTTTTTGACCCACGGATCGGATCATTTTTCGGATCAGCAAGAAAAGAAAAATATTTCAATTGAACTTGCTTTCCATTTATTACTTAAAGCGAAGTACTTCTTTGATACCACAGCAAATACTACTAGATTAACTAAGAAAGTTTAAACATGATTAAAGAGACAAGAGAACAGCCAGTAAAAATAAGAACAAATACACAAATTACAAGCATAGGTAAATACAACAGAATATGTTACAAATAAAATAAGGTTGGTAGTATTCAAATACAGAAATGTAATAATTAGGGAAAATAACACTGCATAGTGTTCGCTGTTTAAATTAAATATAGATTTTTATCACAGCTGTTTTGTTTAATGACAGCAGCAGTATTTATAGGCCGCTGTCCCTTTAAGACCTGATGCACGGATCCGATATAATGATATACACATCACATCCGATTTCTTTCTCAGCTGTTTTCATTCACTTGAGACATAACTAGGCATGGGACGATAACCGGTTTCAAGGTATACCGCTGTTTGGAAAAGTCACGGTTTCAAAACCACTAAAATTTCCCGTTATACCGTTCCTGCGGTATGCACAGTTTTTTTTACGTGTTGTCAAAGACGGAAAGTGCAGGACTCCCTCAGTTGTGTGCAGCGAAGAGCGTAACGAGTCACACGACCCCTCCCCCTCCGGTTGGTGCGAGCAGTCAGTGAGAGTCACCTGTGTGTGGGATGGCC